GGTGTCTTCAGGGAATCCCTTTTTCTACATGCGCTCCGCCACGTCCAACAGTCTGACAGGGAGCACCTCGGATCACCTTGTTTAGGTTCCGCACCTTCTCGTTCATCTCCAAGGCGTGCTGGTCAAACATCATGTTGTAGGGGATGGTACATACCGTCAACAGGATGGGGTCCATCTGGATCCTCAGCTCCTCAAGAAGGCAACTCATCTTGTCGTGCAGCCTCGTTATTTTCCTTGCTTCTCCCCTTGATACATCGTTAGTTCCGATCATCAAGGTCACCGTGTACACTTTAGTCATCCCTAGCATCTCAAGCGTCGCCAACATCTGTGGCGTGGCCGCTCCAGCGAAACTCAAGATTCCTGTCTGCCAGTGCGACCGGATCCGGGTCAACACCCGCACCAGGCTGTCCCCTATGATCAAGTGGACCGCACCTTCTGGCACGCGGGGTGGCGCAAAATACTCCACCCAGGCTGCATCATGAAAGCAGTCCCTCCTGGCTTTCTGTTCCGCACTCCAATCCAGCCGATTGTGCCTGTGGTACCTCCCCTCTGTATTTTTCTTATAACTCGAGATCACGACGCTCCTGACCGGCTTTTCCCTCCAAGTCGGGGGAAGCTCCGGTCTTGCCGAACTTTCACGACTTTTCTGCCGTAATTTCTCGCCCAGCTCTTTCAGACGCGATGAGCCGCCGCTCACCTGACTGTCACTCGAGGTCGAGGTTGGGGTATATCCCGGCAGCACCACATCCATCAGCGGGCGTACGGGTTGCGTCTCTAGGCTACGCAACCCTTCACTCATGTGTTCCCGGGCCTCGCGGTCAAGGTTGAACCGTGCTCTTGCTCTGGGGACTTCATCCACCTCCATGCGTGACTCTGGTCTCGAGCTGGTAACCACTCGCTCCTTCGGCCTGGCTCCCTTCTGTGCGTCAAGTTCGCGTTGTCGTTGTTCTATTCTCTCCAACTCCGACTTCAGTTGTTCACAATTCGCGGCATTCTCCCGCACCCTTAGCTCCTGCTGATGTTCAGCCTTTAGCATCTCAAGCAACCTCAGAGTCTGATCTCGCTCGTTGACCGCCTGGTCCCTTTCCAGCTGAACCTTCTCCCGATCCAGCTTTGCCTGATCCCGATCGAGGTTCGCCTTATTCCTTTCCTTCTGCGTCTTCTCGAGCTCTTTCTTTAGAACACCAAGATCCGGGTATGCCTCGGTCGTCTGTTGTGCTCGCGTCATCGATAGCACCTTACTCGAGCTTTGGCCTGTAGATCTTGCTGTTGGCCTAGTTGGTAGTGGGAATTCCCCTGCGCCATATTCGGTATTGTTACTCAGGCCAGGATTCCTTGCCAAGTCAAAGCCCCTTACTCCTCCATCCACATTCCAAGACAACCACCTGGTCTGTTCTTGGTTTGATATACCCTCGGTGGTGTAGCCGATCATCAAGACAGCCTCCGTCGCAGACTCCCTGCATTCACCCTGGTCTTCCAACTGGAGGATGGCATTCAGCATTACCGCAATTCTCTCGTCTATCTGGGTATAGTCCAGGTCCCTCAGGCGTCTGTACAGCTCATCAAGAGTAGGCTTCTTCAGGGCCGCGGGCATGGATTTCCAGAATCTGTCTGCCATTCTTTGTGGCTTCGGGATGTATACAGGTATGTGTTAACCAGCTCAAGAATTACCTTACCAGCTCAAGAATTACCTTACCGACTCAAGTATTACCCAACTCAAGAGTTCTCTAGAAATGTTCCCTTGCAAACACTTGCTGTAGGTGTCGATTGTCGCGAGTTCAATCAAGATTTCTCTTTCTGTCTCTCGCTTGAGTGTAGTTGGATTTTCAACTTTGTTTTTCAAACTTGATCTGAAAACAGAAACCATATTAAAACCTAACATGTCATGCTCCTAACCTAGAAACCCCCCCTTTTACCAGTATGGTTAAAATCTTATCATTTTTATTCTATTTAAAACGATTCAATTGGAATTTCCTTAAAAGCATGCAGATTCATTTTATGTTTTAGCACCGTTAATTCTCTTTTAAAATTTAATTGTCATGCCAATCACGTCTTAAGCTCCCTTTACCTGTGCCGCACCCCAGTACCTAACTCAAGACTCCTCCCTCGCACCCAACTCGAGACCCCCGTGTCCCCAACTCAGGCGATGCTCAAGTAGTATTTTTTGTGCAGATACACCATTATCTCAGTTTCCGCAAAGACTACATGTAGGATAGCGTACAATTCCCTCGAGCTCAGTTTGCCCCTGTTTGGGTCATACACCGGCATTGAGACCTCCGTTATTCCTCTTTCAGTCGTGAAGTCTCGTAGTCTTGTTAGTGCCAACATCACGTGTTCGGGATCAATTGTGTTCCTGTCACTGACCCTCGTCACTAGGAAGCACAGATATTTGCCCGGGACTTGTGCTACTGATGGTGGAAGCGCTGCCATCCCTCCTATTCCTGGTCTCTGTCTGAACAGAAACTCCACGTTCTGGTACTCTCTTCTGAAGTCAGCTTCCAATCTTGATTTGAAACTCATGTCCGCCGTGATGCAGATCGCGCTAGTCCTGTTTGACAGGATGAAGTCACTATCCGTTATCATGATGTTCTCCGAGTACTCATTGGGTATTTCAAATTTCGTTTTGAAATTCCGACCTATGGTAGGCTCCGGCTCTTCTTCTTCCAGTTCCAATTCGCTTGTTTCTCTCACTTCCTTGAGCTTCTTTATCATCAAATTTTCGGTGTGGGTAAGTCCTACCCCCACTCCCCGGACAAAAATATTTATCGACGTCCCCGTCGATGTTGTCGGGTCTGAATTGTCCTGAGGAATGTCCAGTGGCCTGTCTGTTGCCGTCCAACCGAAAAGAGGGTCCTCTGTCTTCATGTAATTTGCCGCTGATACATCGACTTGTTGAATGCTTTGTCCTTCGTGGCTCTCGTCTTTGACATCGCGCATCCACTCTAGTATCCTCAAGTTCGTGTTCTTCCTCCTCTCTATCTCACTCTGCTCGAGATCCGTCTCTAATTCCGGCGTCGAGTGGTCTTCCTGCGGATAGTGTCCACCATCGTCAATGACCTGCCATTCCTCTCCGGCTTCCAGTTCGCCTGCGCTCAGTAGTTCATCGCCCAATTTGTCTGGCTGTATCTTATTGATCAAGAAGTCATTCCCGTACCTGTTGTACCTCATGCCGGTGCGTTTACGATTGCCAGTCCTGGTTTCCGGTGGTGTCGGTCGATCCGGCTCCATCCACTTCGGCACCTCATCTTGCTCCGGGTCGTTCCAGTCTTCTTCTACAAATGATCCAGCATCAGACTCCCCTCCTATCTTTTCGTTGTCGTCCAGACTCAAGTTCTCATTACCATCATTTTTCTCTCTGGTGTCTTTTTCATTCACTTCACACGCTGGCTCTACCACCAGGTACTCAAGACCCTCCATGTCCTTCGGTATGCACCAATCCTCTGGGGACGGGACGTGAGGCTTCAGATTTTCATAATGTGCCGCTCGCCCAGTACTCAAGCGATAGAACCGTCCTTGTTGATGAACCTCCTTTATCATGAATGGTCCCCTCCACTTCTTGAGTAGTTTCTTTGTTCCCTTGGGCGTTATGACATTTTGGAAGACCCACACGTATTGGCCCACTTCATATGGCTTTGCTCGTAATATTTTTTCGTCATATTTCCTGCGTTGCCTCATTTGCGCTTGCGCCGTGTTCCTCCTGCATAGCTCGTTCAACTCCTGTTGTCTTTTGATCGCTTCTTTCACGTATGCCTGAGGTGACGTCCTTTTCCCTTCGTATTCCGGGTAAAAAAATGTCAGAGGCATTGCTCTCTCCCTGCCCGTCAACATCATGAAAGGACTGATGCCCGTCGTTGAGTGCTGTGTACTGTTGTAGGCTCCTACTACCTGTGGCAGGTATTTGTCCCAGTCCGTCATGTATCTTGAGCAGTACACCCTTAACATGTTGACCAGTGTCCTGTTCTGTCTCTCTACCAACCCATTGGTCTGTGGATGATAGGTCGTCGAGTGTGCTTGAGCAATGTGCGATCTCTTCATCAATTCTTTTGTCAAGTCACCCACGAAAGCTTTGCCGTTGTCCGACTGGAAAGTCATTGGACAACCATACCGCGATATCCAATGCGTTATCAGATGATCACATGTCTCTTCGGCCGAGGCTTTCTGGCACGGAACCGCTTCGCCAACTTTGTGAAGTGATCTATTATAACCAGTATCTGGTTATATCCCGACTCTGTCATGCAGATTTTTTGATGGTCTATCTGCACCACTTCATTGAACTCTGAGCTCTCAACGGACTTGAGGGGAAACTTCATCTTCCTTGGGTCTTTTACCTGGAGACATGCCAGGCAGGCATTCACCCATCTCTCGCAAGCTTTTCTCATTCCTGGCCAATCAAACCTGTGAAGTATCCTTTGTTGTACTTTGTCTATCCCCTGGTGGCCCATCTGGTCGTGTGATCTGAAAAGCACCTCTGTCTGGTACAATTGTGGTAGTATGATGAGGTTGTGTTTGTGTAATATCTTTTCCTCATCTCTCCTCTTGCACGCTACCACTCCATCAGCTGTGTGATAAAGTAAGTCTTTCTTTTCTTTGTAGAACTGGCTCAAAATCTTGTAGCTGTCTTCCTCAAGTTCCCCCTTCTCCTTGACCCCCGACTGGATCCATTTGGAGAGTGTTTTTGCTGGCCAATTTGAAAAGATGTAAATATATTTTTTTATTTTTTCAATAAATTCCTATATAATAGCAACTAATCAATCTTTCTATTAGAGTATTCATTAAAATGAGTATTTATGCATCTGCTTTTCTTACAGTAGTTGAAGTGTTTTACTTCTACGATAAAACGTAATTGAGCGCAGTTTGAATGATGTCTCTGATATTACGAGAAGTAGTAAGTGGTGTGTTTTTTGGCCGAATTAGCGTTGAATACTTTCTGCAAAACTCGTATTAATTCATAATTTGAGCAAAATTTTGGATATTATATTTACAGTGTTTTAAATCGTTTTTAGTTGTAGTTTGTTATAAGATATGATCACAATTTTGCTACCAGTTTTTGGCTAAAGAATTGGATGGTATGGCTCATGGCGGAGACGAAGTGGCTTGGGAGTGGGAAGATGACATTGGCTGGGTCGAATACGGCAGGAATGTTTCTGCTTTTATCGAAAATTGTTATTCCAATCAAGCACTTGGAGATGTATGGCTCGGAGCTTCAGATAAAGATCTCACTGACTACAAGATCAGCTTTTCCTCAATGGTTCAAACTCGACTACTAACCGGTGAGTTCACAAGGTTTTTGAAATCAAACTTACCAGGAAACCGTTGATTTTTCCGTCGATTAGAATGCAACTGTTTTTTCAATTAAAAATTTAATTTACGTGATATAATTTTCTTTTCAACGAATCTTCCTCGCTTTTAAATTATTAATAGCTTAGGGTAAAATTGCCAGATTTATCAAGCATGAGATTAAATTAGGGCGCTTCAAGAAAATTACCTACTCGTGGCAATAAGTGTTATAGGAGAATTTGAAAGAAACAAGGGAAATTTTTGTTCACATTAGTCGGTTGATTGGAAATGAAAGGAGGGAAGGCGGAAAAGAGCCAAAGGTCTTAAAATATGAGTAGTCTGTCTGTTCGTGAAAATAAGTTTTCGAGGATCCAATATCATGCCTAAATGGGAAACAACTTAACATAATATAATTACGCAAGCGTTATCAGATCGAAATATAGACTTTTCGGGTTAACAACTAGTTAAACAGAATCAGTTGAATCGTTTAGTACTTTCGTTCATATGAAATCAAAAGCGGAACGTCAATTCGCCCATGTCACGTAAAGATAACACTTCTGCCGAAAACGTTCTTTGGTTCGAATCCGACCAGGACCTTTTTAGCGCATCATAAAATCTTTGTTGGACTTCTGTTTGTGTGCTTCCGAACCCAAAGACTAGAATTTGCGCATCGCGATTGTCTCGGACGATCAATGATTGGAGGTTTGTACCTTGGTCGGATGAAACTAAAATGATTCGATCAGGATCTGATGGGTTGCAGTGGGTGTAAAACAAGTCTCTTACACCCATTCGCATTCAGAATTTGTAGTGGAGGGGATACTGAATTTGGTAGAGGAAATCTGATGCTCTGGAGATGCATTACGTCCCCAGAGTTGAGTTAAGCTTGTTAAATAGTAAATTTTATTGGTAAACTTGGAGCTATCGAGCACTACAACTGGACCAGAAAAGATTTAATTTTTCAACGAGACAACCACCCAAAACATACGTCCAACTTGGCAGTACGTTGGTTCAGCTAAAATGGGGTTCGATTTCCTGACTTTCCTGCTCAGTCACCAAATTTCAATCCAATCGAGCATTTGCGGTAGCACTTCAAGAGTAGTGAACAGACAATCCTGATGCCTCAGGAGCTTTGTTGGATTGTTCATGACCATTGGATTGGCATTCATGCCTAGACCTAATTGACAGCATGCCTCGACGAGTTGGGGCAGTTATTACAGCACAAGGCAGATATACCAAATACTGAAACTTATAATTTGAGTTTTCGGTTTGCTTCAAATCAAATGATTGGAGGTCAAATGATTTTTCTTCGAAGTAGTTTTTTCTATGAACCCCGAAAGAAAGCTAACGATGTCGAAACAATCATCAAAAAAGGGGTATCAACGGCAGGAAGCTGAAGTTTTGTGCGATGCATTGGAATATGTCTGCTAGTTAAGCATGTGAAAATTAACGACCGATAATTCAACGGTTGAGACTAAGTGAAAGCTGAAAGTAAAGTTTTGAAACACTGTTACAGTTTTGCGAGCCACTGTAATTTTAAAAGCAAGTTACTGACCTGCTCTGCCTACGATAGCAAGTGTCTAAGAATATTCAACTACATTTTGGTTGAAATCTATTCATGGGGTCAATTTTTTTTTGGTTTAGTCCTGCCTGTATCTTATTCCTGATTTGAACCACAAAAAAGTGAAGTCACAGTCGAAAAAAATGGATCAACGCTAAATAGTTTTCGGAAAACAATTTTTATTATCCGAGAATAATCGATTGTAAGTTTTGCGTTTGGACCATTTTATAGCTAGTAAATATGGCTAGTAAAGCAGAAAGCTTTTTTTTCGACTGTGAAGAAGCTTAATCTCCGAATCTTATTGTTCAATCATTAAGAATGGCTTTTGTTGTTTTCGTCTGACGTCAATTAAGTTCTCGATCTTTTGGGTATAGCTGCCATAAACATTGACTCTTTCCCCCTTATAGCCCTCTCCCAGCATAGAGACAAAAAATAAAAACCCCAGCCTACGATAGTTTTTTTTTTGTTTTGAGATCTGTATTTTCTGGGTTACTATAATGGGGAAGATCCAGTACGTTTGATTTTGAAACCCGGTTAATTTTGAGTACAAATTTTAGTGCGTGGAATTTGTTTGCAGGAAAACAGAGAAAGATAAGACGAGTTGTGCGTCCGAAAACTGCCGATGTTAACTTCACATGGCAATGGTATGAGCACGGGTCCTGGATTGATTACGATCCAGTTCAAAACTCAATTCTTAATAGGGACTTCGACTCCGGAAACGATATTTGCCAATTAACAATGAGGAATCAAACTTATACAGTTGACTTCAGACGCATGGTGCAAATGAATAACTACACAAGCTTTTCTCGCCAGATTCGAAAGGTGCGGCCCTTCTTTTCCAGTTCAAGGCAGCAAAAAACAGCATTGAAAATTTGTAAATTGGTTTCGGCAGACCTGATCTTTTAGACAAAGTGTCAAATTTGTTAACTGCCTACTGACACGTTTGATTTTAGATTTTATAAAACTTAGAAGTAAAATTAAAATAAAAAATATGAATTTAACTGGGAAAGAATTGGACAGGTACAGTCCTCGAGCGTCGCTGGAACGTCGTCGGGATCCGGAGTCTCAAGTACGTCCTCGCATGCCAACAGAGCCTCACGTGCAACCCGCGGGCCTGGGCGTAATGCTATTGGTTTGTCCGGATTAGGATTCACTTCACATTCTAAAGACCCGTTGGCAAACCAAACGAATAGTATGATTGCCCCTAATGGTGCAAATCTTGTGAGTGCCAGGCCAATGTCAGCTGCGAGCTCCAGAGCGGGGATGCCAAGTCAATCTAAACCTCAATTGAAATATTTTAAGAGAATCAACCAATCATATGATGCACCCAACGCTTTCACATCGACACCCACAAATACAACATCAGCCGCAAGTAATGGTCGAATTTTAACACAAAGTTCATCTAGTTCTCAGAGTGCGACGAGCCGAGATCCGCTTCACAAAAGCACTCTAGGAGCGGCTGATCAATCAACGGCTTACGGAGGATTAAGGAGCAGCGGATATCAAAATCAGTCACTTTCAGTTAACAATGCATCTCAACTTCAGTCTACGATTATCAATTGTGGCAGGCCGCATTCAGCCTGTCGCAGAAGTTCATTGTGTGATCAGTCTTGTTTATCCAGCGGAAAAAATGCAGCAACTCAGCCGGCGACCAATGATACAGGCTACAGTACAGACTCAGAGTGAGTTTTTGCTAACTTTTAAAACTGCCGTAGTGTCGAGAAAAACTTGTCTGAATTTTCAGACTACATTACAGGTAGGACAATGATCTTCGATTCAGTTCTCCTGCTTTTTTTGTTGCAGCTTCAATCATCTGATTTTTGCTCTAGCTTATCATTATCTAATTGGATCCTTTCGCACCGCCTAAAACAGATTTTTTAACCAACAGTTTGAAAAACATTGAACTTTTTAGAATAAAAAATACATATTTTCGGCCACACAAACAAATTTCGATTTGTTTTGAGTGATATTTTATATTGCAGACAATTCAGTCCTGAAATCCAAGTGGCTGAAAAGTTTTTCCAGTGTTGTTTACGTGAAAGCAGTTGCTGGAGTTAACTTAGGGCTCACTTTTAGGCTGATATGCACAATATCTTGAAAATTCAAATAAACTACCCCTTTGTTCGTTTCAGGTAGTAATTTATTTTAACAATTGTATTGAAAAAATGTGATTTTTTCGGATTTGTGGTTTTGGCCTCATTTATGTTGGCCTATTTTTCGTTTCTTTTTCGAGTGTAGTTTATATTATCTGGTAAGTTTTTCATGCAGTTCTTTCCAAAGCGTGGGTTATGTTATTTTTTGATTCAAACAGTTCTTACTTTAATCGAAAGTTAATCTGTAGTTTGCAAATTTGCCAACTCTGATTTTGAATAATTTTGTTTTTAAGAGTAATGAACGTAGTGAATTTTCTATTATAGATCTTGCTGTTTTTTTGTGATTTTTTTTTCAGGAAAAGTCTTAAAAGTCTCTAATAACTACAGATGTGCATTTATACACCTTGATGCATTTATGAATGCACTTAGGTATAGATGCACTTTTTGAGTTCAATTGAAGTTCATCTCGATTTCTAGTTTTGAAAGTGGAATTTAATTTTAAGATTTCCAGCGGAATAAAAACTTTACCTATTGATCGAGTTTTCTCTAGTTGGATTCATGTTATCAAAAAAGCGCCAGTCATAATTTGTTCTAGAAATTCAAAGAGCTAAACGGGCATCTATTTTTTTCAAGTTGAGATTTCAAGAAAGTCAGTGTTTTTAAGAGTAATGAAAGTAGTGAGTTTTCTTATATATGTCTTGCTTATTTTTTGTTTGTTTTTTTTTCAGGAAAAAGCCTTCAAATTTGTTCACGCTCAAATTATGATTTTTCGCGGTTTGACTTGTGATTTTTTTTCTTAAAGTTCAGAGCATTTCCATTCGTAAAAGGAAGGAAAATTCCACTATCGAACAGCAAATTGTAAATTATAAAGGTCACAAAAAACGTGATCGACTACTAATTTAGAAACTGGAAATTAATTATCAGATTTCCCAGCGAAATATAATTTTTTTAAACTTTTTGATCCAGTTTTCTCAAATTGGGTTAATTTGAACATAAAATTGTCCATCATGAATTGTTCTACAATTTCAAAGAGCTTTAAGGCTAGTTTTCCGTAATTCAAAATTAGTAGATTTGTAAAAAAAAAAAACGAGTCGTTTTTTTTTTCAGTTTGCTTGCGTTCCTTACTCTTTTCCAACTTTCAGTTGGCTATGTTTTATCATGTTTACTTGCGTTCATGACTCTTTTCCAATCTTCGCTTGGCTATGTTTTGTTTGTTTGAACGGGTTGAGTTTATGTTATATCGGCTCAATTATCTAAAATGGGATAGTTGAAATGTTTTTTCATGACTCGCGTTTCAAGAGGGATGGGTCGTAAAAGGAGTTGTCTCAAGTTTTTTTAAAGCTTGAAACAATTTTTGACTACAGTTTCTTTGTCGGCTCAACGAGGGTCAAATTTGTCGCCTTAGTTGCCACTCGGTCATTGATTTTCATTGCAGATGTGATGATCTTGATAACTTTGTTGGTCAAGTTACCAGTTCATTGCCCTTACAATTAGCAATAGTATTGCAACCGGGGAATTTTTTTCCTGTAATTATTTTTGTTGTCAGGAACCTTTTGGACTCATCTGCTGGACCACTCTGTTGTCAATATGTTTATCACAACATGCATATTTTGAGCATTGCTGCATTTTAAACATCCGTTCTAAGCAATTTTTATGTTGATAGTAAATTTACAAACTCTATTTTTTGAACTTTCATTTTTTCCTCGTATTTTTTCTTTTTCTTATTTTCGCCTCAATAGGTTCAGCCTGTTATATCGAATAAGTGGCCTCATTTGGCCTAGTGTGATGAGCGTACAACTGTTTTAGAATGTGTGTGAGTTGTGAGAGGGAGGATGTGTTTTTTTATTATTTTTAAAGACTTTTTATGAAAAAATGTTTCGACTCTAATACTTTCTGCTAGTGTTGGTGGCTTTCTTAACGCCTGGTAAGTTTTCTTTCGATGCTAGCTTAACGTTCTAAATTATCAATGATAATTTTTTCTTGAAATTCAAAGAGATTTAAGGCCATATAATTTTTCTTTTTGAAAATCGAAAGTTAGTTTCTCTAAAAAAAAACAAGTCAGTGTTTCTGTTCTATTGCTTTCATTGACTCTTTGTCAACTGTCTGTTGTTATGTTGTTTGACACTTTTATATTTCTTTGCACGAAGCGGTTTTTGTCTCAGTTTCTGTTACCTGGTTTGCCATACTATTTTTTTTATTGTATCGCGGGTGTTCCAAAGCTCCGCTTGCCCCTGTGTTAACTTTAATGCTATCTTTTTTGCGAACAATTGTCTTTTTCGAAAAGTTTTTCCTCATAATGAAAATAATTTGAATCTCCTATGAAGTTTTTGGTAGACATAGTTTTGGATACATTGTTCGACTTGAGGTTTTTCGCCGGCTAGCGTACCATGCTATAATGGTGACGTATCTCAATTAAGACTCTTCGCTTCATGTTAATTCATGTGTTTGACAACGTAAAATTAGTTTTTCAAAACTGAAATTCAAATGAGTGTGGGGGTGGATGTTCGGTTGGAGTGGAACAGATCCAAAAATGGACTTTTATTATCAGAATTCTCATTTCATTCAATTTTTTCTGAAGGTTACCTTTGTGAAAAAAAAGTTTCAATCATAAAAATTTCTTGTTTTTAAATTTTTTTGTGCTCTCCGAAATTTGAAAGCTCACAATTTTGGAAAAAGAGCTTATTGGCACTTCCAACTTCTCTTGGCTATGTTTTTTCTTCCAAATTTTCTCGATGGTGGTAAAGCTAGAATTGTTCAATGATTTTTTTCAAATAAATTGTGGATCTTTGAATTAAACTTCACGTTCAAATAATTTGTTCTTATCCTTTTCCTTATGGTTATGTGAACGTACATAAAATCACAGAAATCTTGAAGTTTCCTTGCATCTTAGTAAAGCATATTTCTGGCGTCTTAACATTTTTTAAAAACCTTCATTTTTTTTAAATTTTGGTTCGTGTTTTTGCTTCGAAATTAGTGAGAAGATCTGCTCCACGTACGTTTTAATTTTTCTCCTAGTGTGCTGAATATATATAAATTTTAAGCAAATATTTAAAAAGCTGGAATATTTTTGTTGTGACCGAGCAACTTTGTATTGGGGGTGTTTTAGTTTTTTTCCACGCAAAATCAGTTAACAAAAATAATCGTCGTACTATTTTGAGTGATAAATCACATAAGAGTTTTTTAATTGTAATTCGAATGACATTTAAAAAAATTCAAAAAGCTGTCCTAGTGTTGAGAAAACTGGTTTAAAATTTCGAGTTTAACGAGTTTAAGTCAAATTTCGATTCAGTAAAGCGTTCAATTAACATTCGTTATATATAAAAGTTAGCAATTTGGGTTTAAAAAATTGATTATGTTATCAGGAAAACTACTTTTGGAAGCTTCATTTAGCGTTTTTCTGACCAAAAAAATCGAAAAATATATAATCTTTTAGTGCAAACAATTGAAAAAAAAAATTTTTTTCGTTTTTTAAATTTTCTGAAGACAAATAAAGTCATTTATGCATAGTTCATTAAATATCTAATGTAGTTCTGTCATCACACGATGGACAAGAAAATATACTAAATTGAAAAAAAAAAAGAATTTTTTTTTTGAGAATGTGGTAGGAACATTCTGTGCTGCTTGTACAGCAACAGGCGATCCTTGTTTATTTGTAGATCTATCGAAATTGGGCAGCCTGACTCTGAAAATTCCAATGAGGAAACGGAAAATGCCAAAATATCTTCGAAGAGTGCTACTACATTGGCTGAATTAGGAGGTTAGTAGTAGACGTTTGCAATGATTAAGAATATTTCCAGCTTTTTTATTAAGCGACTGATACATCGAAATAGCGAATGCAAGCGAAGAGTCGTGTATAAATCTATTAGTATAAAAATGTATCCCTTGATTCCACTAGAAATCAAAAACTTTGCATTAGAGTTAATAACATGCCCCTATGCCAGATGAATGTAGTTCAGACTCCTACAAAAGTCGTGATCTTTTTTTTTTTTTTTTAGGAAAAGTCTTAAAATTTGTTCACGCAAAAGTTTTGAGTTTTCGCGGTTTGACTTTGATTTTTTTAAGTTCAGTTAATTTCCTTTGTTGAAAGGAAGGCAAAATCCACTATCAAACAGCAAAAGTGTAAAGGTCACCTAAAACGTGATCGACTTCTAGTTTCGAAAATGGAATATAATTATCCCAGCGAAATATCAGTTTTACATATTTCTGAACTTGGGTTAATTTTTACAAAAAATTACATTGTAAGATGTTCTAGAAATTCATAAAGCTTTAAGGGCAATCATTTTTTAAATTGAATTTCGAAAGTTGAGATTTTCAAAAAAATAATTCAGTGTTTTTTTCTTTTCCCTAGCTTTCATTGAATCTTCTCCAATTTGTTTATGATTTGAATACAATTTCGGTCGCTCATTAATCGAGACTTAACGAATACGACCTTAGCTGCCCAATTTCAAACTTTTCATAATTTGTTTAAACGAATTATCTCATTAATTCCCGGCGTGAATAAGTTTTTCGAAAGGCATCAAAATGTTCGAAAGCAAACATACAAGCAATTAAAACTGTTAACATCTTTTTTTCTTTCGCTGATTTGATAATAAATTCACAATATTTAAACATTTACAGCTTTTTAGAAAAATTACAGCAGATGCGGAGGGAGAACTAACACTTTCTGAACCAGAAATAAAATGGTAACTTGGAATAAATTGTTGATACTCCATTGTGTAGATGATATCATTTGCTATCTTTTGTTTTGAAGCGCCATCTTCTCAAGAATCTATGAGCGTATTTCAGACTTCTAACATAGGTCGCGATTATTTACATATGCGAAGCCAGTGTATTAGTATGAACCTTCTTTTTCCAGCCTAAGTCGCAAATGTTGGTGCAATTTTTCAGGCCCCTAACAGCGTTTTAATAGCATGTGCTTTGACATTCGAATAGTAATAAGTTAGTTCATCAAATGAACCGAAAAAAGTTATTTGTTTCAAACAACATAACAATAATAAAACACGATTTCAGAAATTTTCTAACTCATATATCTCTCTATATCTCATATAATTTGAAATGCATAATTTTTACATAATATAGCTTTATGCGTAGCGATTTTTACATGCGAAGTTAGGGTGGATGACTTCAGTTTGTTAAATTTCAAACTTTGGTGCCACTTTTGCTGAATGGCATCGCAATTTATTAGCATATGTAGCTGCTTTATTCGTGACTAGTGTTTGTCGGTTGTTATGCTTGCGTGGCTGAGTGGATAAGATTGTACGTGAGACTCAAAATCTCTTGATTGCAGTAGGTCGCAGATTCGAATCCTTCACTTAGCCGAGTTTTTGCTAACTCAAGGCTTATTTCTACTTTTTCTCATTTCACGTGATAGAGCTGTTTTTTGGTCGTGTTCTCGCAAATGTTTGCGATGCGCAGCTTTGCCTCTGTATTATTTTCTTTTCGGGAAAAGTCTTAGAGTTTGTTCACGCCCCTTTTTTAAGTTTTCGCGGTTTGACTTTTGATTTCTTTTTCAGTTCAGTTCATTTACTTTAATAAAAGGAAGGCGAATTTCACTGTGTAACCGTCAAGGTCGCGAAGAACGTGATCGACTTCTAGTTTCGAAAGTGGAATTTAATTTTCATATTTTCCTGCGAGAAAAAAATTATTGCTTGATCCAGTTTACTGAAATTGGGTTAATTTTATCAAAAAAGAGTCAATCATTAGCTCTTCTATTAATTCGTTGAGCTTAAGGATCATCTTTTTTTTTGAATTTTGAAAGTTGAAAGTTTTAGAAAAAGTTAGTCCGTATTTTTTTTTCTGTTAACTGGCGTTCATTGAACTTTTCCAATTGTCTGTTGGCTCTACAATGTTCTACTAATGTGAAATAACTCATTTGATGTTTTTGCTTTTAAACAGTAAAATGGTGCCTCTGTTTAGTGGCCAGTGATCTTCCGCAGATAATGTTGGAGAATCTTCTTCTGTACGTGCCACCAGAATCATCCGATGACAAAGATAAGGTTGGCACAAGTTTCAGTCTGTTGGTTCTGTTTGTCCAAATCGGTGTCCGGTGTCAGTTGCTTGTCTGATTTTTGGCGTTTCGGGGGAATTTAGAGTTTACAGAGCTTTCTATGAGGGTGATGGGCAAAATTTTGCAGACCAATCGTATTTCGTAGGAGAGAGAGGGGAGCTTAAGTTTGTTATGTAATTTTTGTTTGCTTAAATTAGGGGTCTTGGTTGACCCATAATGGGTCTTGGTTGACCCATTGGGACGATACACTTCGGTTAAGACGAAAACAAAGAGCTGCGCTCCGACTAGGCAACTACAAAAACTAATTTTGGAACTAATTTACCAAAACTGTTTTTGTAGTCTACTTCTTGTAGACTAATTGTTTTTCTTGCAAGATGCGCTCGATACATGGTTTAACGGAAGTAGCTCCAGTTTGTTTATTTGAAATTAGGAAATTTATTTTTAGGACAACTGTCCGATTTGTCTTCTCGATATGGACACTGTCTACGATGATATGGATGAAAGGGACAAAGGGGCCGGAAAAGTGAGTTTCGAAGTAGAATTCTGAGAGGCACTAGCGGATTTAGGGTATAGGGCAGACGTCCTGCCCACCCAGAAAATTTCACTTCCTGACCCCTGCTGTGCAGACAGAAAGTTTGATGAAAATAGCATCTTTGTTTGATAAAACTCGGAAAGTCAGTTTTTCGACCTGAAAAAACAAGTCGACAAAACTTTTGAAAATCCGACCCCGCTTGAACCCCCGTCTCGAGAAAATCGCAGATCAGCGTCTTCCAGATCAGCCAGCGTGTGCTAATTAGACCACATGTCAATTTTCAAATTAATCGGATAATGTGAACAGTACTTTTACTTTTAAAAATTTGCAGCAAAGGGAAAAAGAGCCAGGTCTTGTAATGAAATTCATTAACCGATTTTTTAAGCTCTCTTGAAGCGATGCGCAAATTTGTTTCGGCCAATATTTCTGAGAAATTGTACGCTCTGATTTAATTTAAATAATAGACTTTATGCGCATGCGGATCATGGTATAGCATGGTTTTTATGGTTCGTTGAAGCAGTGTTGTGATTTGTGTTGTAGATCCCTAGCGATTTGGCTCTGACTTTTCCCTGCAAACACCCTCTGCATTACGACTGTGCCCAGGAGGTGTTCAAAAACAACGAGGTCAGTATTTTAACAAATCTTCATCTATACCCCCCCATTTGCATAAGGTGAGATTCATTACTAGGCCGTTATCAAGGGTACAAAATTCACATGCTGAACCGTTGAATTGTTTAATTATAGAGATGGAAATTTGTTACTAGGGGGGGGGGGGGGGGGGTAGTTAAAGAGATTCGAGTCTAGTAGAGAGTTAAACTATCAAGGGTACGTTTTAGTGCTTTTTCATTTTTTTTTTTCAATTTCATTTCAATTGAATTAATACCTTACAGAATTTAATACATATGTTGTTGGATAGATCTTTACCTGCCCGCTTGCCAGAAGCATTACCAAGATCTTAGTGCTGTTTTAGAGTAATTTTCTGTCATGTCCCATATGCAAGAGAGTGTTTGGAGGTGTGTTAACGGGAGGTCAACCTGAAAATGGAACTATGACATGTCAAATGATCCCCGATCCGTGCGCAGGATACGAAGACTGTTCAACCTATCAGATCGTGTACAATTTTCCACCGGGATTGCAGGCAAGTAAATTTTCAAATCTACGTCAGCCAAAAAACTTTTTATTGCGCATTTTGTCTGAGGGCTAATCCGATGACAGAAATATCGAACGGTGGAGAATCAACCAACCAAATTCCTTGGAATTGTTTCTAACCCGGTTAAATAATTTTTCAGCCTTTGTATTCCGGTCAAGTTGAAAACAAGAAAAGAAATTATACAATTATCATAAAAAGAATCGGTAAAAATACAAAAACGGTTTTGTTTTGCCTAGTGTTCTTGATTTGAGTTTTCTTCCTTACTTTTTGAGTAAAATGATCCATTTCACTTGTACAATTAAACTATAAAATTAGATAAAACTTGCTACAAACCAATATGCAATCAATATATAGCTAAATTCCATTATATTTGGCGTTTGTGTGATTCGCATATGTTCTAACCCTGGTAGAAGTTGATTTTACGCCAATTGAACGGAAACGCTCTGTGCACACCGCGAAGCTAGTGTATAAGTACGAACCTTCTTTTTTCCAACCTAAGTCGCGGCACCCCAATAATGGTAGGGCACCTTTACAGCTTTTTGATAGCATGTGCTTTGGCATTCTAATAGTATTAAATTAACCCAGTTGATGCATTTTTAATTGATCATAAGAACTGAAAAAAGCTATTTGTTTCAAACAACATCACAATATTAAAAACTCAATTTCAGAAATTTTCTAACTCACTATATCTCGCAATTTTTTGAAAAGCAAAGTTTATACATAATATGGCTTCATGCTTTGCGATTTGTTACATGCAAAGTTAGTGTGGATGCCTTCAGTTTGTTGTGTTCCAAATTATTAATTGTAAAATTGAGTTTATTTGTACTTGATGATGAATCCCATTGGTAATTTGTTAGCATATGCAGCTGCTTTATTCGTGACTAGTGCTTGTGGGTGGTTAAGCTTGAGAAGATAGTGCGTGAGATTCAAAAGCTCCTGATTGCAGTAGGTCGCAGATTCAAATTCTATGCGTAGCCGAGTTTTTGCTAATTCGAGGCTTATTTCCACTTTTTCTTATTTAACTTGATAGAGCTGCTTTTTGGTCGTGTTCTCGCAATTGTTTACGAAGCGCAGCTTCGCCTGTATGAAATTAACATTTGCAATTGATTTTATTATACTTATAATGCCATACTGCATTGAAATCCGAAAAAGCGAAACAGCTTGGCGAGGGCCAGGTCTCTTTTTCCGGAGACGGTCTTCTTAAGATTGGCAGTGAGGGCGATAATGTTTCTTTTGTCGTAGTGCGTGCAAGTTATGTTATGCGTGCTGGTGTGTAGTAGCCCCTCGGACTAGCCGGTTTGACTTAACACGCTTAGTCTCCCAGTTTCATAGGGGGTGTCGATGTCGACATTTGGTTTACGGGATTTCTCTAAAAGATTTTGTACGGTATTACAAAAGCTATCTCCATTTAAATTCAAAGTTCAACCTGGAAATGCATTAAAAAATCGTCGATGGGTTTGTTAATTTAGGCGTAGTTTTATATTCTTAAATCTTGCATATATAGATTTCATTCCACCTTAAGATGAAGCAAATTGTTTCATTATGTTTGCGATTAGCAAGAGTTATCAAACTGGAATTTTGATTTTTTCGAGACTTTTTAACAGAATCAAATCACTTGTATCTTGACTCATAATGAATTTAAACTGCTATTGGTTTCCGGCCAGCTTAGCCTAGAAGTAACGAATATTCATGGGACGGCAAAGGTCCTGGGTTCGAATCTGACCATAATATGTTTTTTTTTTCAAACGGGTCATGTTCTCTTTCAAATAAAATTCTCGGCCAATTATTTGTCTGCTCATCTGTTGTCGGATTATTTGTGACATCTTGAAATCGTTTTTTTTGCGCGCATTTTTTAATGTTGCTCTGAGTGTTTGATTTACTCTTCCAATTTTTACTTTTACCTACCTTGACTTCGTATGTCCTTCTTTGTTTTTTTTGTTTCTCTTAGAAAAGTTCACCGCCCAAATTATTTCGGCCTATTTTTTATCGTCTTAATGATCTAATTTTGGTCCGTTCAATGGAAACACAGCTTAAACACTCCCTCCGCACTTTTCTTTTGGGTTGTATGTTTACCAATCGATTGATGCAATGTTTTCTTCTTCATCATGGAAAATTATTTCCAAACTCATTGGAAATTGTTATTGTTTTTCTTGGAAACTTCTACTGATTTTATGGGGAATATTTGGCTGTGCCCAGTTTTTTAGGAAACAAGTTATCGGCTTCAAACAAGTCGAAGTTTTGAAACTTAGACTGTTTTTTCGTTTAAATTTTTTGACTTTACGCGAAAACTACCGTGATATTTCTCAGGTTGTGTTCAATCGGGAAAGCCCGTTTTGGGATTTTTTTTGCTTAAGCGGCCACAAACTATTTCCAGGAAAAAGTCTATAGATTTGGGAAATCTTTTCACCGTTTTTTAGAATTTTAGCCGTTTTTAGAAGCTTTTTTGAATTTTGTTGAAATTTACGTTCAAATCTGAGATGAAAAGTTCAGCTGAAAGAACCAGTCGCGATAATGTTCCCTGTACCAGCTCCCTAATTTTTCGTATTCATACTCTTCAGTAAGCAGACAAATACTATATTAAACAATCAGAATCGATATGAGAAAGTAAACTTACGAAATAAATAATTATTAATTTCTTCATTGTCGCGATTCTGTTTGGTTAATTTAGTATTTGTCTGCTTACTGACGAGTATGAATGCGCGGTTGTCTAAATACTGCTACGTAACCTCAATTGATCTGACGCAAAACATGCTTGTGGTTAATTAATCTTGTTGAAATAAAATAATCATGAAATTTGGTCTACTTGGCAGTATGGCAAATTTTTTATCCATTGAATTTGACATTTGTGTTTTAAAATTTTTAAACTGTTCCTTTCTTCACTCTTGCACACTTTATTGCATTTGATAGCATCCAAAATCATTTTAAATAGACTTTTGTAAAATCATATTCGAAAATCAAGGGGCGAGTTGAAAAAGTGCACCAATAACCACCTACTTAACTAGTCAAAAATGTAAACGCCACAAAAGAACATCTATCGACCATGAAATTAAATGAATAAAAGAAGAGTTGTTCAGTTTGTTCAACATGTTTTGGCTACTTTTGATTTGAAATTTATCGAATTTCGTGGTAACTAAATTTGAAAAGTAGAAAACTCAGAGTTGTTTACTTTCTTTTTGGGCTCTTTGCTATCATAGCCACAGCCTAGAAGTAGAAAACTCTTAGACTCCTACACTGAGTTTTATTATAGTGGAGGGACTATGTAATATTTGGAGGTTGGTTTTATTAGATAGCCTGTACTTTCTGAAAACGCATGTTTATCCGGATTATAGCGGAATTAACAATATGGATAAACTTAAGAAAAATGGCATAGTCTTAATTGTATAACTTGGGCTCACCCTCATTTGCCTGTTTTTTGCATTTTGCTCTATAGCATTTTGCGATGAAGTTTTGCGAAATTTTCTGCTTGCCGAGTTTTCATTATCCGCAAAGAAAATAGGGTTCGAAACATGTTCAATTGCTTCATAAGCGCACAAGCACAGCAGATGACTGTCGAAGCCAATGCACAAAAGCCCTTAATTTCACTAAAAAGTGTCAACATACATTTTTCTCAAAATTCTAAGAGCTTAAAAGCCATATATTTGTACATTGAAATTCGAACGTTGAAGGTTTTTTGAAAAAAAAAACAGGCAGTTTCGGTTTACTTGCGTATTGACACTTTTCCAATTGCCTTGTGGCTGTGTCTTTTGTTTTAAGTTAAAATCAGTTTTAAAAGCTTCATGCAGGAAGAACAAAAATTTCATGATATGATGTTTTTAGGGTCCGAAGAATCCTCACCCTGGCAAACCGTACAATCGCTTTGGCTTTCCAAGAGTTGCATATCTTCCAAACAACCAACAAGGCACCCTGGTAATTGCTCAACATTTCACAACATGGAATTGATGTTCCTGCTGTAAAAAATGTGCTGATGGCGTTCAAATTAATGTAATAATTACTAATCTTTGAATTGAAATTTATCTTTTTTGTACTGATTCTTTTGACAATTGGTTGACATTTTTCCCATGTCTATTTTATACTGTTCTATACTTTTTCACGCTAAAACTAGAGAAGTGTGAATTAAATTGTGCTCTGAATCGAACTGTGAAGTTATCTTAAAACTCTACTTTTACGCTTCAGCTGGTCAAGATGCTTAAAGTTGCTTTCGACCGTCGTCTCATCTTCACAGTTGACAGATCTCACGTTACAGGTATTAAAAGTTTCAGTTATGTTCTCTGGCTGAAAATTTGACAACCTACTTTTCTATAAAGCTTTTTTCTATCTTTGTTCCTCCATGTTAAAATGCCTTTTCTGAAGACAATTTTAGTAGCCGTGTTCGCTCATGTGTTTTATGAAGTTCAAAGACCTTTTAAGTGGTATTTTTTTTCTGCAAAATTCGTAAATTGAAATGAACCTAAGTCTTTTTTTGGTTTTCTTGAGGTCATTGCCTCTTTCAAATGTATGTTGGCTATGTTTACACTAGCGAGCTTCGATCGTAGTTAATTAGTACGAATCTTTTGTTCTTCTAACCTAACTCGCAATTAAAAGTGTTCAATTAAATGTATCTTTTGCTATAATCACGATATGTAGCATTGGAAATTTCATAGCATCTGTTCTCTGCTTTGTTTGCGGCTACTGCTTGTGATTAGTTAAGCGTCCGCTGCTGAGTGGGTAGTGCGTGTGACTAATATTCTGTAGGTTGCAGGATCAACACGACACGTTGCAGAATTTTTACCTATTCAAGGTTTATTAAGAGTAATGAACGTAGTGGGTCTCTTAAATAGATCTTGCTGATTTTTTTTTCACGCTCAATTTTGATTTTTCGCGGTTTGACTTGTGATTTCTTTTCAAGTTCAGTGCATTTCCATTGTTAAAAGGAAGGCATACTCTACTATTGAACAGCAAAAGTGTAAAGGTAATGAAAAACGTGATCGACTTCTAATTTCGAAAAAGGAATTTAATTATCAGATTTCCCAGCGAAATAAAAGTTTTGCCTATTTGATCCAATTTTCTCTAATTGGGTTAATTTGAACAAAAATGTGTCCATCATAAATTTTCTGCAAATTCAAAGAGCTTTAAGGCCTTCAATTTTTTTCTTGGAATTTCAAAAGTTGAACGTTTTTTAGGAAACAAGTCAGTTTTTTTAAGAGTAATGAACGTAGTGAAGACTCTTTTATATGTCTTGCTGATTTTTTTGTTTGATTTTTTTTCAGGAAAAAGTCTTAAAATATTGATGCACTGAGGTATAATGCACTTTTTGAGTTCAATTGAAATTCATCTGCACTCTCCAAATACGAATGTGGGGATGGCGCGAAAAAACGTGAACGTATCTAGTTTCGAAAGTAGAATTTATTTTTTGAAAATTTCCCAGCAGAATAAAAACTTAATCTTTTGATCCAGTTTTCTCAACTTGGGTTCATGGTATCAAAAAAGCTCCATTCCTAAATTGTTCTAGAAATTAATAAAGAGCTTAAAGGGCATCTATTTTTTTTCTTTGAAATTCGAAAGTTGAGATTTTTTCAAGAAAGTCAGCGTTTTTAGTGTTTACTCGTGTTCCTTACTCTTTTCCCATCTTCGATTGGCTATGTTTCAGTTTCCTTGCGTTCATTACTCTTTTCCAACGAGCAGTTGGTTATGTTTCATAATTTTCCGTATTGCACTTTGTAAAGCTCCTTTTTGTCGTGTTCTGGCTATTGTTTGCGAGGCGAAGCCTTGCATCTGTGTTAAAGACTTATTTTTTTTTCATGCGAAATTTAAGTTTTAAACGCTCCTTTTTGCGCTTGCTCTCAAAAAATGATTAAAAAAACTGAAAACTTCATGTGCCCGCTGTTCTTGCACGAGCAAATGCTTTTTTAAAACTGATCGTTAATTTTTTCCACATAGATTGTGTTCATTTTCTGTTTTCGGTTTGTTAAAGTTAGCTGTTGTGAAAAAGTCATTAAATTTGTTAAGCTCTAAATTGGTTTGTTGGTTTTCACTTCTGATGTTTTTTCATTTTCCATAAAATTTCATTTTAAAAAAGGCAGGCGCATTTCAATCTCCAGTAAGGAAACTGCAAATGGTGCTTGAACATGTAAATGAGTTTTTAAAAATCAAAAAGTGTAGTTCTTGAAGTTAAATTCAGAGAGCTGTGATGTGACGTTTTTCTCAGACTTTTGTAAGTAGGAACTATTTCGAAAGATTGCGTTTCCGATCATCTTGCGTTTATCGACACTTTTCGAACTGTCTGTTTGCTATGTTTAGGAGTAAATGAACGTAGTTCAGGTTCTTATATAGGTCGTGATGATTTTTTCGTTTTTCTCTGGAAAAAGTGTTTACACTTGCGAGCTTGCAAGCATTTGTATTAGTACGAACCTTCTTTTTTCAACCTAACTCGCGAATAATATTGTTCTTTCATTTAGGGGCATTTTGCTATAATCACTATCTGTAGCCTTAAAATCTATAGCATCTGTTTTCTTTTTTATTTATGGCTAGTGTTTGTAATTTATTAAGCGTTCTTAGCTTTAAACCCATTATTTTTGTCTCTGAAATTTGAAAGTCGAGATTTCTAATGGTTTTTGAAGGCTGTATATGAACTTCATCCAAATTGTTGTTGACGTGTCTGTTTGTCAACTGAGTACATTGTCGCACAATGTGTCGCTCAATTCGAAGTTTCATAATCTAGTTCAATACTGGCTGTCTTGTTCTGCCACAGGTTTTCATCAAAATGAGTTTCTGTTTTAAACAGGCATTTGAGAATTTCGGGTGTTGTTTTTTTGGCGCTTTGTCATTTTTTTCTTTCGTTTCGGTGGGTTTGTGTATCGCAAGTGGTGCGAACCTCATCTTCTGTGTGAAAGCATGTTTTCTGTTTGTTTCTATATTTTTGTAGCTGTAAGCGTTATCAAATCGGAGTATATACTTTTTTTCCTGGTTACCAACTTAATCAACAAATTGACTTGAACCATTTGAGAGCTTATAGTATCTTTCGGATCTTTTTTATCATGTCCTCCTTTATTACGATAGGGGACCAATTTGTCGCAAGGTACAAAATTCGTATATGCTTAACTCTTCAATTCTTTCTTTATAGGGGGCTATTTCGATACAGTGTAAGATAGACGAGAAAGTAATTAAGATCTTTTTTTCTTCATGTTGTTTGTCCCAGTAGGTTCCAAAGGTATCAGAGGAACCTAGGGTTCCTTTTGTTAAAAATCCTTTTAAAAGTCTTGTATAGATAAAAGCCCTGACTGGTTGAAAAGCATCACCATCATATTACGGGGCTAACAAATGAATATCTTTTAGCTGTAGAACTGAATTGTAATTCATCTTGCAGAAAACAGAACGTTTTGAACGAACCAAGAAAAGACTGGGTTTAATAAGAATTTATTGCTGACAAGATACAATATTAGCAATAACACCAAGATAATTGTAACATTATCATAAAAGACATTGATGTTAATTCTAGGAATGGAAGACTGTATAGTGTGGGGTTCTGTGCATCACAAGACGTCTCTCTCTGGAGGAGAACATGGCTTCCCCGATCCAGCTCACCTGATCACAATGAAGGAGGATCTGGCAGCCCTGAAGGTGACAGAAAATGACGTGCATGATGCGGTTGGAATCTCTTCCTTCTAATCTACTCCTGCATTGCAAGGATGAATTTGGGCTCTTTTTAACTATCCCCATATAGTACCTAGTTACGAATTGCCACTCTGATAATGAAATACTTCATCGGTTAAATACATGCAATTTTGGACTTTAGTAAAGAGGGGGGATACTTAAAGAGAGCCTAAAGATGATATTGATGACTTAGTAGCGGTGAAAGACGAAGATGTACAAAATAAGTTGAAGTTTTTGAGAAGTAAACTTATTGCTGGCAAATTAGTTTGATGAAAAACTTTTACAATGTGCTATTCCATACTGAAACTTAAATTTTAAAATTATTAATTAAGATGAATTAAGAGTAGATTCTAGAATTTTAGCAGATAAAACTAGATTTTATTTTTCAAGTTTTTTTATTCAACGATAGAACATATTGCTCCGTTATTAACATTCGAAAGTAATCGTTATCAGGAAAAGATTTTGAATGTTTCGAAATCGCTTTCATGAACACAGAAATGATCATTGTTCACCGTTGTTCTTCGACTAAAAAGTGATTTTGGAAAATCAACGTTAACGAAATCTCTACTCTTAATCTACTGATTCTCAGTCATCTATTGGTATTTACTTCATAATAACTATTGAAAAACGCCCAAATTGCATTTTCTTCAATGTAATTTGACGTACGCATTGAACTTGATCTGACTAATAGATGAGTTTTGTGTTTTAATTAACTAAATAATTCTGTTGTACTTATATTTCACGATGATGAGTACTCATTGAAAGTAGCTTACAACCAATAAAAGTTATAGTTTTCTAATCAAAACCAAGAAGTAGTATTGGCAGAAACGTCATTTTTTACGCTAGCGAGCAGCTAGTGTTTTAGTACGAACCTTCTTTTTTCCTAACCTAACTCGAAAATAAAAGTGTTCATTTGTGTACCTTTTTGCTATAATCACGGTCTGTAGCATTGGAAATTTCATAGCATCTGTTCTCGGCTTTATTTGTGGCTAGTGTTTGTGATTGACTAAGCGTGAGTGGCTAGTGCGTGAAACTCAAAATTTCTAGATGTCAGTAGGTCGAAGGTTCGAGTCCATGACGTCGCAGAGTTTTTACTAATTCGTGGTTTTTTCTACTCTTTCTCATTGCTTTTTTCAGAACTTAAGAGCTGCTTTTTGTCGGTTTTCGCTAGTGTTTGCGAAGGGCAGTTTCGCCTCTGTATCGAAAAACTTGTTTCCAATATGTGTATTTTTGGATCTTTTCCATGATATATCCCAGCAAGTTATAGACCCGCCCCAAATACGAAAAGTAGCTGGAGAGGGTTCTAGATAATATTCTGTTAGCAGGCTGGAGTAACTAGAATGATAGAAAGCAAGTTCTCCGGGCGTACGCTCTCCGATTAATGATTGATTGTATGATTTGGATTAACGATTAATTTTCAAATTAATTGTGTTGAAAGTCATTTATGGTTGTTTTTAAGAGTCTGTGAACTTAGTTCAGACGCTTGTATAGGTAGTTTTTTTTTCAGAAAGTTTTGTTTTTTGTTCAGGTTCGAAATTACTTTTTCGTGGTAATTTTTTAAACTTTCTATTTATTTATTTCGCAAATTGGTTGAGTTTATCAAAAAAGTGTCAATCATAAATTGTTCTAGAAATGTAAAGAGCATTCAAAAAATGTTCATCTATTTTTTCAGACTTATGAATGTATTGAAGACTCTTATATAGGTCTTGCTGTTTTCTTGTTTTTTTTTTCTGCATACATATTGAGGCGTTTATGAATGCACCTAGGTATATATGCACTTTTTGAGTTCCAGTGAAATTCGTCTGCTGAAATTGACGTAAATAGCACTCTACAAATACGAACGTGGAAATGACGCAAAAAAAACGTGAACGTTTGCTAGTTTCGAAAGTGGAATTTAATGTCAAGATTTCCAGCCGAATAAAAACTTTACCTATTGATCCAGTTTTCTCCAGTTGGGTTCGTTCTTTGAAATTCGAAATTTGAGATTTTTCAAGAAAGTCAGTGATTTTTGATGTTAACTTGCGTTCATTACTTTTTTCCAATCTTCGGATATCTTCGAATTTTTTTGAATACCAGAAGTTGAAATTTTTTCAAAAAACACAATCCAGTACTTTTTTGGCTTGTTCATTGACTCTTATCTAACTGTTTGTTGGCTATGTTTATTGATTACAAAAGCAAAAATTTATACACTAGGGCTTCACCTTTTTTCAGCTTTAGTTGCGAAATTTTCTGTGTTTCTTTTCCAGTTTCAACACCCCTCCCTCGTAAAAAAAACAGTTAAAGTTTAAAGTTTGTCCAAAAATTGTTCACAAAGTAACTTTCACTTGAGCAATGTTGTCATACTTCGTTCAAGCTGGCTTTTTTTACAGTAAAGAGCCTCAAAAGTCTATTTAGGTAGGTTTAGGTAAACGACTTCAAGGAAAAATTGAAAGAGAGGACTGGAAAAGAGCGTTTTCATATAGTGAGTCAATTTGCGAGCTTTTTTTATGCAAAATTTTGTGCACTATAGTAAAATAGCGAGCTTGCGTTGCGTAACGTTTGTGTACTAAAAGCTAGCTTTTTACAGCCCAATTTGCACAAAATGAAGCTCGATATTTTCTTTTTCTTTTCCAGTTTCAATCCCCTTCCTCGTAAACCACAGCTTAAAGCTGTCCAAAAATTGTTCATGAAGTTACTTTCGCTTGAGAGATTTTTTAAATAGTTTGTTCAAGCTGACATGTTTTATTACAGTTAAGAGCCTCTAAAATCCTTTTAGATAAGCTTTCTTTATAAGTTTTTAAGTAACAGTTAAAGGAGATGACTGTGAAAGAATGTTTTCTTTTAGTTATTTTAATAGCCAGATTACTAAAGCAAACGTATGTGTACTTGGAATTCGCTTTTTACGGCCAAAAATTGTTCATAAAAAGTAACTTTCACTAAAAAAATGTTGTAATACTTTGTTCAAGCTACCTGTTTTGTTATACTTTTACACAAGCAAAGCTTCTGTTTTAGTATAAACTCTCTTTTTTCCAATCTAAGTCGCAAATGTTGTTGCGACGCAAATTTTGTTGCGACAAAATGTGTTAATTTTGGAAGTGTTCATTTTGATCAATAACCAGCTATTAAGTACTGCCAATGCTAAGCATATTAACACAGACTATTAAATTACAAATAGCACTTAAGCTTCAAGGTGTAATGGTTCTATTGCGTAGAGGTAGGGAAGGAGACCAGCAAAAAAATGAGAGGGTTCGAAGCTGGGCAGGGTCGGATGTATTTAATGAACTTTTTCGTATACTAGTTAAATGCGTCCGCTCTATAAATTGAGGCATGTTACTTGGTAAGTTTCTTTTTTTTCAAAATGACTGGTACTGCTAATGCATCATAATTGGCTTGCGTCACTTAACAATTATGTAGACCCATACTTGGCGTGCGTCACTAAAAATTTTTGTAGACTCAAAGTTTTACTCATTCAGTTTTTCCCAATAACGTAATCGGTCATATTTTTTGCTTGTGTATGCGAAGTGCAACTCCTCCTCTGTGTAAAGCTTTAAAAGATAATTTAGATAGGCTTTCCTTAAAAAATTTAAGGAACAATCAAAGTAGATGACTGGAAAAGAGCCTCTTATTTAAATTAGTGGCATACCGAGCTTACTAAAGCAACCGTTGTTGTACTACGAGTTCGCTTTTTACGGCCTTATCTGCACAAATTGCTGCTTAATATTTACGTTTTTTAAACAAAGATAGGAAAGCAGATTGGTTGGTGGAGAATGACTTGCTAACTCGAGTTCCATATTTCAAATTCCATAATCTTTTTCGCTGTTCGTGCTTATGCTTGCGAAATGAACCTGTACATCAGTATTTGAAATTTCGCAAAAAGTAGAGCTAAATTTAGTCTTGGTATAATTTGTGTGTAGCCTCAAACCAATTGGAGACAAAAATTAAACCGGAAACTTGAAATTGACTTAAAATATGACAAACCGGATATTAGTTTTTTTTTGCGTGAAGGACGAAATGGTAATCAGTATATGATGTAATATCAACTGCTGTGGGGTTGGTGTATTATTAGCATATGTGCTTTGGTGCTCGTTTAGAGTTTTTCCATCTCCAAAAGTTTGCGGTAGATATTTGGGGCTGAAGATTAGTTAGCTTAAATTGAGTCAACATATTATTCACTGTTGCCCTAATTTTTGTTGCGTTTATATGAGAATTCTCGAACTCTGCAAGGATACAAATCAACCTCACAGACGCTCCTTAATAGAGGCTTTGAATTTTTTTCGGCTTGTCGGCTCGTTTAAAAATTTTGGTTAAAATCTTTGTTGTTTTTCTTTGTGCTTCCGGCTGTGTTTCACATTTTAGTTTATGCTGTTAATTGAGTTTTCTGCCTATTGTTTTACAGTTATTCTATATGAGGTTTAATTTCAAAAAAAAAATTTGAATTGCTTCTACGTTAAAGAATATGGGACTACCATTTGATGCATCATAGGTTAAGCTGATGGCACCCTAACAGCCATCAAATCCGAACGTATTAAGTTCAGAATATTTCGATAGTTTTGTTCTAAAGTTTTTTGAATTATCTGCTGTTTTTCGTGTGTTTAGCAAGATTATTTTCTGTCTTATCTTTAAAACTTTTTAGATTTTTTTTCCACGTTCTGTACAAATAATTCAAGGGTATGCTTTCTTTGTAAATTTCATTAGTTTTGTTCAAAAGAACTTCATAATTTTTCAAAAAGAAAGTTTCTTGTACAGTTTATGTTCTTCTTCGTGCTCTATGTATTCAAAAATTGCGTAAATTACTGATTAAGTTTGTCCAAGAATTGTTCACAAGGTAACTTTCACTTGAGCAATGTTGTCATACTTCTTCATGCTGGCTTTTTTTTTCTACAGTTAAGAGCCTTGAAAGTCATTTTAGGTAGGTTTAGGTAAACGATTTTAAGGAAACATTGAAAGAGGACTGGAAAAGAGCGTTTTCATATAGTGAGTCAATTTGCGAGCTTTTTTATGCAAAAGTTTGTGCACTATAGTAAAATAGCGAGCTTACTAAAGCAAACGTTTGTGTACTAAAAGTTCGATTTTTACAGCCCAATTTGCAAAAATTGTTGCTCGATATTTTC